AAGATCAACGTTTCGCCACACAAATTGTCTCTTAGTAAAGATCAACGTTAAGCCACACATATTGCCTGTAAGTAAAGATCAACGTTAAGCCACACATATTACCTGTAAGTAAAGATCAACGTTCAACCACACATATTGCCTGTAAGTAAAGATCAACGTTTCGCCACACAAATTGTCTCTTAGTAAAGATCAACGTTAAGCCACACATATTGCCTGTAAGTAAAGATCAACGTTAAGCCACACATATTACCTGTAAGTAAAGATCAACGTTCTACCACACATATTGCCTGTAAGTAAAGATCAACGTTCAACCACACAAATTGTCTCTTAGTAAAGATCAACGTTAAGCCACACATATTACCTGTAAGTAAAGATCAACGTTCAAACGTGGAAGATTCATGAGTATCTACTACTATTGCCTCTAAGGTGCGGGTTTGTTCTGTTAGTAGAGATACATAAACGGTATAGCAGTTCCTCCTCTCGAAACTCAAACGCAGAAGGAAACAGTTCTTGTTTCTATGTATAATCGTCTAATCATTCCCACGTATAGCTTTAGTTGTTTAATCCCATACAAACAAGGTGTTGTGTTGGCGACACGTGGTCGTTGGGCCTGCAAGTATTATATGTAAGACTGCACAATGATCACGATACTTGATAGATGGCCCTACAAATAAGTATCTTTGATATAATCACGTACATTAATATGAATAACTCCTATTATTTGTAATTATTCCCCGTGGGGTGGTAGAATCAAAGTCAGATGAATGTTATTTGTTGTGAAATCTTTGGCCATCAAGTATAATGATAATGCTGTTGGCTGGGCAATTATGATGGATACAAAGTTCAAGAGGTAATGCTTAAACATCTTCAGCGATCGAAAAAAATTCTTTCCAGTCAAAAGTCCTAGTCAAAGCCAGTAATCATGGTGCTGTACATCAACAAAAATGTTTCATCTCAACAACATATAGTTTCTGCAAAGAAATATCTGTTTCTTACGATTGCAAAGGTTCTAAAGTTTGAATTTAAAGACAGTTCAAAATTCTGTGAGCCAGATCTCACAACGCTCTCACGGACGCCAGATCTCACAGCACTCTCATGGACGTCAGATCTCACAGCACTCTCACGGACGCCAGATATCACAGCACTCTCACGGACGCCAGATCTCACAACACACGCGGACGCCAGATCTCACAACACTCTCACGGACGCCAGATCTCACAACACTCTCACAGACACCAGATCTCACAACACTTTCGCGGACGCCAGATCTCACAACTCTCTCACATACGCCAGATCTCACAGCACTCTCACGGACGCCAGATCTCACAACACTTTCACGGACACCAGATCTCACAACACTCTCACGGACGCCAGATCTCACAACACTCTCACAGATGCCAGATCTCACAACACTTTCGCGGACGCCAGATCTCACAACTCTCTCACAGACGCCAAATCTCACAACACTCTCACGGATGCCAGATCTCACAACACTCTCACAGACGCCAGATCTCACAACTCTCTCACGGACGTCAGATATTACAACACTCTCACGGACGCCAGATCTCACAACACTCTCACAGATGCCAGATCTCACAACGCTTTCGCGGACGCCAGATCTCACAACACTCTCACAGTCGCCAGATCTCACAACACTTTCGCGGACGCCAGATCTCACAACACTCTCACAGACGCCAGATCTCACAACACTTTCGCGGACACCAGATCTCACAACACTCTCACGGACGCCAGATCTCATCTCTCACCAACACCTTCATAGTGGCCAAATCGGATATCGCCTGTTACGACTCTAGTTCTAACTGAAAGTATTGATCTCAAAGAAATATGCAGACACAAGTTGTTAAAATTGCCTTCAAAACGGTAGTTATAGTATTGGTGTCAGCTCCCCATGCAGAACAGACGTCAACTCATATCCCTCTCATATACTCCAGCCACGGTATATATCAGAAGATCTCACAACACTCTCACGGACGCCAGATCTCACAACACTTTCGCGGACGCCAGATCTCACAACACTCTCACGGACGCCAGATCTCATCTCTCACCAACACCTTCATAGTGGCCAAATCGGATATCGCCTGTTACGACTTCATTTTTCACTGAAAGTATTGATCTCAAAGAAATATGCAGACACGACAAGTTGTTAAAATTGCCTTCAAAACGGTAGTTAAAGTATTAGTGCCATCTCCCCATGCAGAACAGACGTCAACTCATACCCCTCTCATGTACTCCAGCCACGGTATATATCAGAAGTATCAACCCTATTTCCCATGAATACTTCGATCTGATCTACCTGATCACAGATCAGAATCCCAGACATAAACCTCTCACTTCCAGCGACGCCTACACATCCAGGGTTAACAAAACTCGTCTTGCTGTCCTCAAGGTATTCAACGAAAGACCTTTACTTATTGTGTTGTTTGTGGTATACACGTCTAATTCTAATTCAAAGTAAAGAGTTCTTTTAAGCAGAATTAGACGCCTCGCGCTACCAAACCCTTTGATTGCAGAAATAAGATGAGATGTGATCGTCACACGATACTCACGATCGAAATAACACTTTCCACGTAACATCGTCTGAACTCCCGTTTTCACTTGGGTATTTACATCAATGTTCTTCTCCTAATAACATGCACCTTGTTAAGTTCCACTATATTTTTTTAGAATTCCTAAAGAAACACGAAAATGAAATGAGGAATGAAATTACTGACTTAATGGACTCAAATAAACGAATATTATGAGGAATACTAGCCCACTGGTTGTCATAAAGCATCACCATTGGGAATCTAATAATCAGGATTTTGTAACTCGTGTTATCACCTGAAAACAACACCTATTTTAATTGTGGAGCTGCAAAGCCCATACGACGATTTAAGGTTGATAATTCTGGATGAAATGTCACTTAGATGACTAAAAGATTCAGTAGCGTTCAATCCCTTCACATATCCGAATATGATAAAATATGATATAACTTTATTGTCCCGGAGGAAAGGCTTTTTGCATCAAGCCGGTCTCAAAATTAATATGAACACAATTCACAAAAATATACACAGTAATTACTGAATGCTGGTTACACATAATAAAACTGACATGATTCAATACACTTAACCACATAGGTAAAGAGGCTGTGGTTGATTGTATTGAACCATGTCAGTTTTATTGTGTACTTGTGTGTATTGGTTGTTAATATGGAGGACAACTGCTTCCTGGACCTCTCGAATGTACTGTTACCTGAAAGGTTGACGGATATGGCGACTAGGACCAACTTGTGTAAGGTACGGCCCCAAAACGTTACCGAGCCTCATTCAAGGTCGCTCTGACCGTGGAAGGCCCTCCATTGCCCGGACTGTAATCGACTGATTACTGTGTAATGATGGCCCAGCTGACGTACCATAGCTGTGAAGAACAACCCTCCCGAGTGCACTACGAATTATGTGTAGTCTGTGGCTGTGATATCCTGATCCGTGCATGGTCACAGGGGATGATCATACAAGACACCAGAGTTAAACACCCAAATTGCAGATATCATGAATGACAAGTTGGGTGTGACTACCAGGATCGGTTCTGACGTCACCGTCAAATATCGTTTATATCCTTACAATTGGAGTTCATGGCGACGTTATAATTCGTTATCTCGGGGCCTTAACTATTTTACAAGTATTATAACAAATGAACATGTTATTCGGATAACATTGTGTCTAAACGTAGCAGTATGGCGCGGTAACTTTGATGTAAGTGATGCTTGTGCTTGTTTGTATGTACACCTATACACGCCTGTTCAGGTTGTGAAACACATTATCAGCGCTGCAATAACAAACTGTTCTTATTTTCTATTTTGCTTTCAGACTAATACTTTAACAAGTAAATTAGACATAGTTCATCCTGGACATCATCTGAAAGCAGTCGCAGTTCTTCTCCCGTAATCATTTCCATCCTCTCAAAATGCTTGATTAAACTTCATATCATGAATCAAACACAAGTGCTATCACGTCCGCAAAAAGCCATTACTTCAATGTATAAATCTTCCATCTCTCCGACCTCCACAGTCCACTAAGTCTACACAGCTGTCATAAAGTGTATGACTATATGACCCTGGGAGAAGGATGGGTGCAGTGGCTGCTTCTTGTCGCCTCATACCGCCATCCTCAAATAGGATTATCTATTTACATCCCCAATACAGTCCTGCTGCTGTGTTTAGGTTGGCCGCCATACGACCAACCAGACAGTGATTAGGTCATTATTGTCTTCTGCAAAGGCCCAACCTTCCCGACATGCTTTGGAGGGACCCTGCAAGATTGCAGCCATTATTACCTTCAAATCCCAGTCTGTATAGGAACCTGATAAACATCAACCCATAAAACACCGCTAAAGAAAACTTTATATCTCTGCTGTTCAGCGGAAGGTTCTTTCATCAAAGGAAAGTATAAATGTGCTTGAATAAATATGTTGATGTTGCAACACTTGACAGCGTTTATATTTGTGCTCTTGTATAAGTCAAGGAAAATATTTGTTTCTGAAAGTTTGGCAGCTTAAAATAATAATCATTCTAGAACGGATCTGTCACATTCGGACCTTCAACTTTTTTTGCACTGCTCTGTCCAAATATGATTTCAGCCATCTTCCTCAATTATCTAGTGTGTTACAGCACCAGATTATCAGATAAATACCGTGCTACAGGACATTCCCCAGCAAGGCTTCCAGGAAATGACCCGTCACAACTGAATCTCTCTTATCATAAGATTTCTTACGGCTGTGACTGGAATCCAAATGTCTGTTTATGTCAGTGTGTCTTCTGAACCTGGTTTAACATGAAACTATGCCCAGGGTATATATCTTGATAGAACACAACACACTGGATAAACTATCACTTATAATTAAACAATGTAAACGTTTATGATGAATGGGTGGTTGACAGAAAAACAAGCATCAATTCCTGTATCAGTCTGTTGACATGGGCTGAAAGTAAGGACAAAGGTGAAGACATGTTGAAATGTTTATTGATATTAAAATAATATAAAAAAGAAATCAAACTAGTTTCATAAAACGTTTTTACAGAAATATGATCATGGCTGAAAACGTTTTAAGACAAATATGCCACTGAATGACTTTATGATGACAGGTTATCAAAAGTTCAATTCAATTCAGCTCATTCAACTGATTCCATTCAGGAGTACAGGTCCTGAGTATGGTCTGATGGAGCTGGCACACAAGAATGTATGTAAATACATGTAATACTGCAAGTAATAGTAATGGATTCTTATACAGGAGCTCTGACACACAGACGATGTAGCCACAGGCTATCAGTTACCTTGAAATAAAGTTAGCAACACAGACAGATGGATAGGTCAGCTGATATATCAAAAACAGAGAGCTATGAAAGACGTCATCATCCTTTAGGTTGTTGTGAAACAATAGACTTTATGGATACATTATGATGTTCTTGTTACAACCAGTTTTTCAGAGGCTGCCTTGTAGTGGAACAGAATATACAGAAGACCTTCTTTATAAGACAAATAATAACAAGAGAACCACAAACTTTTGATATGAACTTACATTTAAGGATGGCAAAATGCAGTTTCAGAAAGAATCTACAACAAAGTCTTGTTTTGCCTTATACAAATTAAATCTGGCAGAACATATATGGTTGCAACTGACCACTGCCATTGTTCATGGTAGCCCCATATCACAGAAATGCTTGCAGCGATCTTATAATGCTGCTCTTATGGTTTGAAAAATATATGTAGAATAAAAACAACAACAATACATTTATGTACAGAGTATTCAGACTTGATGTACAAGGTTTACTAACGATCACAAAGTGATTGCACCATTTCCTTTTGATCTTTCTGCAAGTAATGATTACCATGCCTGTGAGCAGTATATCTTGGAGAATGTCCATGGCCGACATAGATTATGATTGATTATTCCACCATTGCATACTTCCCCTTTGTTCCTGTGCCAGACATCTTGGGTGGAGTAACTCCTGACAACCTGGTCAGTTGGTTGTCACTCCACCCTCTTGGCCTGGAACAGACAACTCCGGAAATCCATGCAATAGCTATGTCATATGCAGCCTTCTTCATGGTCAGATCATCTAAATTTCAAAACTGTCATTTGAATTTTAAAAAAATACAGGACGAAAAGACTTTTCTAAAACTTCAGAAGAAAAACTGATTTCTCTCAAACAGTTATTGCCCATAAACCAAGTTCATCTCACTCCTGATCACAATATTAGCATCACAGTGTCCAGAACAACTTGTTCTCCAGTTGACATGATGGATGTTCCCTAGACTGGGACATCCTGTATAATGCTGATGGCACTTCTAAATAACACCGCCACCTCCCTGTACTCCCCTACACCCTTTCCCATCCCATGTAGACCCACACTATTCTCTATATAGCTCCCCTTTCTCTGTATACCAAGCCCTTTCTCACTATGCCCACTCAACTGTTTACAACAACACCTTTCTCAATGTACATGTCTCAACACCTACCCCTGTCTCAATGTACATGTCTCTATACCCACCCCTTCCTCAATGTACATGTCTCCATACCCACCCCTTTCTCAATGAACATGTCTCCATACCCACCCCTTTCTCAATATACATGTCTCTATACCCACCCCTTTCTCAATGTACGTCTCCATACCCACCCCCTTTCTCAATGTACATGTCTCTATAATACCCAACCCTTTCTCAATGTACATGTCTCTATACCTCTAACCCTGTCTCAATATACATGTCTCTATACCCACCCCTTTCTCTCAATGTACATGTCTCTATACCCACCCCTTTCTCAATATACATGTCTCTATATCCACCTTTCTCAATATACATGTCTCTATACCCACCCCTTTCTCAATATACATGTCTCTATACCCACCCCTTTCTCAATATACATGTCTCTATACCCACCCCTTTCTCAATATACATGTCTCTATACCCACCTCTTTCTCAATGTACATGTCTCTATACCCACCCCTTTCTCAATGAACATGTCTCAATACCCACCCCTTTCTCAATATACATGTCTCTATACCACCCCTTTCTCAATGTACATGTCTCCATACCCACCCCTTTCTCAATGTACATGTCTCTATACCCAACCCTGTCTCAATATACATGTCTCTATACCCACCCCTTTCTCAATATACATGTCTCTATACCCACCTCTTTCTCAATGTACATGTCTCCATACCCACCCCTTTCTCAATGTACATGTCTCTATACCCACCTCTTTCCCAATGTACATGTCTCTATACCCACCTCTTTCTCAATATACATGTCTCTATACCCACCTCTTTCTCAATGTACATGTCTCTATACCCACCTCTTTCTCAATGTACATGTCTCTATACCCACCTCTTTCTCAATGTACATGTCTCTATACCCACCCCTTCTCAATGTACATGTCTCTGTACCCACCACTTTCTCAATGTACATGTCTCTATACCCACCCCTTTCTCAATGTACATGTCTCCATACCCACCCCTTTCTCAATATACATGTCTCTATATCCACCTTTCTCAATATACATGTCTCTATACCCACCCCTAACTTCAATATACATGTCTCTATACCCACCCCTTTCTCAATATACATGTCTCTATACCCACCTCTTTTCTCAATGTACATGTCTCTATACCCACCCTTTCTCTCAATATACATGTCTCCATACCCTACCCTTTCTCAATATACATGTCTCTATACCCACACCTTTCTCAATATACATGTCTCTATACCCACCTCTTTCTCAATGTACATGTCTCTATACCCACCTCTTTATCAATACATGTCTCTATACCCACCCCTTTCTCAATATACATGTCTCTATACCCACCCCTTTCTCAATGCATATGTCTCTATACCCACCCCTTTCTCAATGTACATGTCTCTATACCCACCCCTTTCTCATCATACCCAACTCTTTATGCTAACCCCACTTCTGTATAGCCACCCTTTTCACTATATACCCTCCCACGACTCTATTCATCACCCCCTATCTGTGTGTACCAAACCACACCTCTGCATACCAACCATTTATTTATATATCCACTCGTTTCTCTATACAGCTTCTGTTAACCCTACATTCCCATCCCTATCTCTATATACTGACCCTTGCTTGTTTCTGTATATTTACCCTCAGCTACCTCTATATCCAGGATTTTATATACCCAAACATATCTCTGACCCAGTCATACTACACTACCTACCACTCTTCCACATATCCCATGCTACATATATATACCCACCCCTGCCTCCATATTCCTATGTCTCTTAGAACCCTACTCCCCATTAAATATGAGTCATCACCCCTCTCATGTAGGAGTTGCACAATCTCCAGGTCTAGATGAACCTGACATCCACTCCCATGTTAGAACTGCCTCTTTTTGCCTCATCACGATACTCGCCGACAACATCCTCATCCCTGCAACACAGAAACTCAAGGTAAACACACCCACATCCCTGCAACACAGAAACTCAAGGTAAATACACCCACATCCCTGCAACACAGAAACTCAAGGTAAATACACCCACATGCCTGCAACACAGAAACTCAAGGTAAACACACCCACATCCCTGCAACACAGAAACTCAAGGTAAATACACCCACATCCCTGCAACACAGAAACTCAAGGTAAATACACCCACATCCCTGCAACACAGAAACTCAAGGTAAACACACCCACATCCCTGCAACACAGAAGCTCAAGGTAAACACACCCACATCCCTGCAACACAGAAACCAAGGTAAATACACCCACATCCCTGCAACACAGAAACTCAAGGTAAATACACCCACATCCCTGCAACACAGAAACTCAAGGTAAACACACCCACATGCCTGCAACACAGAAACTCAAGGTAAACACACCCACATCCCTGCAACACAGAAACTCAAGGTAAATACACCCACATCCCTGCAACACAGAAACTCAAGGTAAACACACCCACATGCCTGCAACACAGAAACTCAAGGTAAACACACCCACATCCCTGTAATACAGAAACTCAAGGTAAATACACCCACATCCCTGCAACACAGAAACTCAAGGTAAACACACCCACATCCCTGCAACACAGAAACTCAAGGTAAACACACCCACATCCCTGCAATACAGAAAGTCAAGGTAAATACACCCACATCCCTGCAACACAGAAACTCAAGGTAAACACACCCACATCCCTGCAACACAGAAGCTCAAGGTAAACACACCCACATCCCTGCAACACAGAAACCAAGGTAAATACACCCACATCCCTGCAACACAGAAACTCAAGGTAAATACACTCACATCCCTGCAACACAGAAACTCAAGGTAAACACACCCACATGCCTGCAACACAGAAACTCAAGGTAAACACACCCACATCCCTGCAACACAGAAACTCAAGGTAAATACACCCACATCCCTGCAACACAGAAACTCAAGGTAAACACACCCACATCCCTGCAACACAGAAACTCAAGGTAAACACACCCACATCCCTGCAACACAGAAACTCAAGGTAAATACACCCACATCCCTGCAACACAGAAACTCAAGGTAAACACACCCACATGCCTGCAACACAGAAACTCAAGGTAAATACACCCACATCCCTGCAACACAGAAACTCAAGGTAAACACACCCACATGCCTGCAACACAGAAACTCAAGGTAAATACACCCACATCCCTGCAACACAGAAACTCAAGGTAAACACACCCACATCCCTGCAACACAGAAACTCAAGGTAAACGCACCCACATCCCTGCAACACAGAAGCTCAAGGTAAATACACCCACATCCCTGCAACACAGAAACTCAAGGTAAACACACCCACATCCCTGCAACACAGAAACTCAAGGTAAACACACCCACATGCCTGCAACACAGAAACTCAAGGTAAACACACTCTCATCCCTGCAACACAGAAACTCAAGGTAAACACACCCACATCCCTGCAACACAGAAACTCAAGGTAAACACACCCACATCCCTGCAACACAGAAGCTCAAGGTAAATACACCCACATGCCTGCAACACAGAAACTCAAGGTAAATACACCCACATCCCTGCAACACAGAAACTCAAGGTAAATACACCCACATCCCTGCAACACAGAAACTCAAGGTAAATACACCCACATCCCTGCAACACAGAAGCTCAAGGTAAACACACCCACATCACTGCAACACAGAAGCTCAAGGTAAACACACCCACATCCCTGCAACACAGAAACTCAAGGTAAATACACCCACATCCCTGCAACACAGAAACTCAAGGTAAATACACCCACATCCCTGCAACACAGAAACACAAGGTAAATACACCCACATCCCTCCAACACAGAAACTCAAGGTAAACACACCCACATCCCTGCAACACAGAAACTCAAGGTAAACACACCCACATGCCTGCAACACAGAAGCTCAAGGGAAACACACCCACATCCCTGCAACACAGAAACTCAAGGTAAACACACTCTCATCCCTGCAACACAGAAACTCAAGGTAAACACACCCACATCACTGCAACACAGAAGCTCAAGGTAAACACACCCACATGCCTGCAACACAGAAACTCAAGGTAAATACACCCACATCCCTGCAACACAGAAACTCAAGGTAAATACACCCACATCCCTGCAACACAGAAACTCAAGGTAAATACACCCACATCCCTCCAACACAGAAACTCAAGGTAAACACACCCACATCCCTGCAACACAGAAACTCAAGGTAAACACACCCACATGCCTGCAACACAGAAACTCAAGGTAAATACACCCACATCCCTGCAACACAGAAACTCAAGGTAAATACACCCACATCCCTCCAACACAGAAACTCAAGGTAAACACACCCACATCCCTGCAACACAGAAACTCAAGGTAAACACACCCACATGCCTGCAACACAGAAGCTCAAGGGAAACACACCCACATCCCTGCAACACAGAAACTCAAGGTAAACACACTCTCATCCCTGCAACACAGAAACTCAAGGTAAACACACCCACATCCCTGCAACACAGAAACTCAAGGTAAATAGACCCTCATCCAGCAAAATAGCTACTAAGGTAAATACACTGTCATGTTCATGTTTCAGATAAACAATCACTAGTGTAGTGGTCATATTGCAGGTAATCAAGGCACTACTGTGGTTTCCATATTACAGGTATTCACTCACTGTCTTTGTCTTTATACAATAAAAACAATTTCCAGTGTCATTTACATGACAGATTTACAACTGTGGGAATCACATTACAGGCAAACAGGCACCACTCATATAACAGCCCTGTAATTCCCCAACATATACCACATCTGTAAAATAATGACTGGACACTAATGCATAAGGAGCTAAGTATTCCCTTAATTTCATCCCTTGACTTGTCCCGATATACCTGATCAAGGCTGCAGTCTGAGCCTGTAACTAGTCAACATAGTCCACATGTATGAAGCAGTGACCTGATACCACTGGAGATGGAGCCTAAACTATTCAACACAGTCCACATGTATGAAGCAGTGACCTGATACTACTGGAGACAGAGCCTGAACTATTCAACACATTCCACATGTATGAAGCAGTGACCTGATACCACTGGAGACGGAGCCAGAACTATTCAACACAGTCCACATGTATGAAGCAATGACCTGATACCACTGGAGACGGAGCCTAAACTATTCAACACAGTCCACATGTATGAAGCAGTGACCTGGTACCACTGGAGATGGAGCCTAAACTATTCAACACAGTCCACATGTATGAAGCAGTGACCTGATACTACTGGAGACGGAGCCTAAACTATTCAACACAGTCCACATGTATGAAGCAGTGACCTGATACCACTGGAGCCTAAACTATTCAACACAGTCCACATGTATGAAGCAGTGACCTGATACCACTGGAGCCTAAACTATTCAACACAGTCCACATGTATGAAGCAGTGACCTGCTACCACTGGAGATGGAGCCTAAACTATTCAACACAGTCCACATGTATGAAGCAGTGACCTGATACCACTGGAGATGGAGCCTAAACTATTCAACACAGTCCACATGTATGAAGCAGTGACCTGATACTACTGGAGACGGAGCCTGAACTATTCAACACAGTCCACATGTATGAAGCAGTGACCTGATACTACTGGAGACAGAACTGACCTCAGTTCCAGGTTCCCGTAGCAGATATGAATGTCACTGGCAGCCTTCAGGATCTTCACTGCAATCTTTCCCTTGACATCTCGGGCTCTCTCCTCCGCTGTCAGTGTCAATCTAGCAGACGAAGTCAACATATCATGATTGATGGCGTCACTACTTTAGGTATAGTTATCACATTTTGGTTGACAGGTCTATATATGGTTCACTAATAACTATTTGTAATGTAGACATTATTCTTGTTTCAGAAGATAGTTCATATGTATATGCATGCAACATAAAGAGGATTCGATGTGGATGTGTGGCGACATGTGTCATCAAATCGTTATCAACCATATCCCTGCACATGTCCAAGGTGACCAGTGACAAACAGCAATATGGAATAATAACTACAATGTAGGACACGAAATTGTTCTCCCCAACCCCACCTCCCAGTAGTGGACATTTAACCCCCAGTGAACTGAGCAGAATATACAAGTCCTGCCTACCTGATACACGACTTGTCAGGTGTGGACTGGAGACCAGCAATAGTTCTATCCTCCTCATCTACAGGATCACCACTGTCTCCAACACTCAGCTCATCTGTAGCACAATAGGAGGGTCTCTAGGAATTTCATTTAAACATATAGCCATACTAAGTCAATCTTAGCTTTGTAATACTGCTGTTTTTGTGTTGATGCCATGTTCTTGAGACTAGTGATAAGGTAAAGGTGTTTGCAAAACCTGAAAGTAACATTTCATCAGCCATTCACACTAAATCTGCACACGTACACACTGAGCTGCACACCTGCACATTAAGCAGCACACCTGCACATTTAGCAGCACACCTGCACACTGAACTGTACACCTGAACATTGAACTGCACAAATGCACACTTTTGCACACTGAGCTGCACACCTGCACACTGAGTTGCATGCCTGCACACTGAGCTGCACATCTGCACATTGAACTGCACACCTGCACACTAAGCTGCACACCGACACACTCAGCTGCACACCGGCACATTGAACTGCACAAATGCACACTGAGCTACATGCCTGCCCACTGAGCTGCACACCTGCTCACTGAACTTCACAAATGCACACTGAGCTGCATACCTGCTCTGAGCTGTGCACACTGAACTGCACACCTGCACATTGAACTGCACATCTGCACACTGAGCTGGACATTTGCACACTGAGCTGCACACCTGCACACTGAGCTGCACATCCACTCATCTCCAAAATTCATTCACCTGTGCACCAATTATTTATATTATCAGTCACAAATATTTTAAGTGGCTAATAGATTGATCATTTGGTCTGAATACAATGGTAGTATCAGCTTCCTTGTCACTATGTCTGTTGTTAAGTAGCCTACCAGTGAATGTCAGCTTGTAGTAGAGGTGGTTGGGTACTCTGAGGCCGGGCCAGGAGTAATCATTGCCCTCCTCCTTAGTCTGTGTGGGCCTGACCCTTGTGCCATCCTTAGCCTCCATCCCTCGGCCATACACATAGAACAGCTTCTTCTGATTCACCCTGGCTGGGCCCTTGGTGACATACATGAACTTGTATGCATCCTCCTTGCTGGGGTCGGCACCTGCAACGTGGGACACCTCTTACAGTTCCTCATATGCAGCAGTATATCACCATCTATGGCAGTGAAACTATACTGACTGACTGAGTTTGGTTTTACGCCGCTTTTAGCAATATTCCAGCAACATCACGGCGGGGGACACCAGAAATGGGCTTCACACATTGTGCCCATGTGGGGATTCGAACCCCGGGTCTTCGGCGTGACGAGCCAATGCTTTAACCATTAGGTTACCCCACCGCCCCCAGTGAAACTATACACTCCATCAGCTTGCACCTGGGGGGTTGGTACCTAAGTAAATGTGGCTGAAAATGTGTAAGCAGTATGGGTGTCAAGTTGTAGTCCATGATGTCTCCTTGTGTTCCAGATTAGATTGTGTGTGGAGGAGGTATTCGGCAATATGTCTCTACTTGGTACAGCACAAACACTACACATCTGAATATTATCCATTGCAATTCAACTTTACACTAGTTATCAATAAAGAAATTTTAAGGGAAATTAAAACTGTTTGATTACAGTTAAGCCATATCATCTTGATTCCTGAAAAACTCTTTCTCAATTACCAGGAAGTGTGCTTTCAAAATGAGATTTAGCAACGACAATTATTATTCATAGTTTCACTGTAGCTCCAAGCTGTGTGTGGCTTTGTTCTCATGTAAAACACTACCAAATACTTAACTTTTCTGTCACATTTCACAAAAATGAAAAATAAACTTGAAATATTATGATTGTGTTCATCACACCTACATAGTTTACTTGCATGAGGCTCAAAGGTTACTTCTATTTTTTTAACTTGACCACTCATTAAGGATTTGAGAAAAATATGTATGTACTCTAATAAAGAAAAAAGGCATCTCAAGATGTACTCTCTCAAACAAACCAATCTTGTATCTCAACTTCATCATAAAAACGTTTCATATTTTACATCTTCAAAGGTGGGAAATGTTAGATGTTGACATACATAATGACTTACCCTGCAGATGTACAATCCACCGATTGGTAAAAAGTGTTGTTGATAAGACTTGAATAGGAATGGGAAAATTGAAGGTGCTGAAGGTTCTGAGGGCATTTTTGTGGTAGACATTATTCTAAGCTGTTTTTAGCAGCTTTTTCTTGCGATGCAGGAAATGCATTCCTTGTACCTCTCGATTAGGTATAGACTGTGTGCTAAACTGTTTAAACCAGCTGATGGAAACAATAGGAGGATCCAGAGGGGGGTGCAGGGGTCCTGAAAGTTTATTAGATGACCATTGAAACTCTCATGAAAACGGGTGAAAATGAAGTGTGCATCCCCATTTCTCAAAAGTGTGCAACCCCCATTTCTCAAAAAGCTGTATCCGCCCCTGGAAACATCTGACAAGAAACTAAATCTGTGAGAACTGCCAGACGTACTATAAAAATGCAGTGCTCAAAATTAGTTGCACTGGAAAAAGCAAAAATACTCCCAAGGCCTTCATTATTCTGTCTGAGGTGAGGTGAGGTGAAATTGGGTTTTACGTCGTGCTTGAGAATATTTCGCTCATATGACGACGTGCATGCGTGTGTATGTGTATGTGCGGATGCTTGTACTAGCCCAGACTGAAGCTGGTTTTATAGTGCTAGCCCACTGAGATACCATGCCGCATGAATACCCCACTCAGACACATTATACTGACTCCGAGCCGACCAGTCCTTGTTGTACCCAGTAATGCCGAACGCCAGGCAGGGACCAACAAGTACCATATTTTAACGTCTTTTGGTATGACGCGGTCGGGGATCGAACCCGCGACCTTCCGCTCTCCGGGCTATTCTGTCTGAAACCTCAACAGCAGCAATTGTTTTAAATTCATCCATACTGTCTGGAGCGTAACTACTAGCTAATAAGTATTTTAAGTTGCTGGAATGAAGACTTAACAACCTGCATAACTGAGGATGAGCCTTGAATAGCACACCAGAATAGAGATCTAACACCCTCCATAACTGAGGATAAGCCTTGAATAGCACACTGGAATAGAGGTCTTACACCCTGCATAACTGAGGATGAACCTTGAATACCACACTGGAATAGAGGTCTAACACCCTGCATAAATGAGGATGAGTCTTGAATACCACACTAGAATAGAGATCTAACACCCTGCATTACTGAGGATGAGCTTTGAATACCACACTGGGATAGAGGTCTAACACCCTGCATAGCTGAGGATGAGTTTTGAATAGCACACTAGAATAGAGATCTAACACCCTGCATAACTGAGGATGAGCCTTCAATAGCATACTGGAATAGAGGTCTAACACCCTGCATAACTGAGGATGAGCCTTCAATAGCATACTGGAATAGAGATCTAACACCCTGCATAACTGAGGATGAGCCTTGAATAGCACACTGGAATAGAGATCTAACACCCTGCATAACTGAGGATGAGCCTTGAATAGCACACTGGGATAGAGATCTAACACCCTGCATAACTGAGGATGAGCCTTGAATAGCACACTGGAATAGAGATCTAACACCCTGCATAACTGAGGATGAGTCTTGAATACCACACTGGAATAGAGATCTAACATCCTGCATAACTGAGGATGAGCCTTGAATAGCACACTGGGATAGAGATCTAACACCCTGCATAACTGAGGATGAGCCTTGAATAGCACACTGGAATAGAGGTCTAACACCCTGCATAACTGAGGATGAGCCTTGAATAGCACACTGGAATAGAGATCTAACACCCTGCATAACTGAGGATGAGTCTTGAATACCACACTGGAATAGAGATCTAACATCCTGCATAACTGAGAATGAGCCTTGAATAGCACACTGGAATAGAGGTCTAACACCTTGGATAACTGAGGATGAGTTTTGAATACCACACTGGAATAGAGATCTAACACCCTGCATAACTGAGGATGAGTCTTGAATACCACACTGGAATAGAGATCTAACACCCTGCATAACTGAAGATGAGTTTTCAATACCACACTAGAATAGAGATCTAACACCCTGCATAACTGAGGATGAGCCTTGAAAAGCACACTGGAATAGAGATCTAACACCCTGCATAACTGAGGATGGGCCTTGAATACCACACTGGAATAGAGATTTAACAACCTGCATAACTGAGGATGAGCCTTGAATAGCACACTGGAATAGAGATTTAACACCCTGCATAACTGAGGATGAGCCTTGAATAGCACACTGGAATAGAGATCTAACACCCTGCATTACTGAGGATGAGCCTTGAATACCACACTGGAATAGAGATCTAACACCCTGCATAACTGAGGATGAGCCTTGAATAGCACACTGGAATAGAGGTCTAACATCCTGTATAACTGAGGATGAGTCTTAAATAGCACACTGGAATAAAGGTCTAACACCCTGCATAACTGAGGATGAGCCTTGAATACCACACTGAATTAAAGGTCTAACATCCTGCATAACTGAGGATGAGCTTTGAATACCACACTGGAATAGAGGTCTAACACCCTGGATAACTGAGGATGAGTTTTGAATAGCACACTGGAATAGAGATCTAACACCCTGCATAACTGAGGGTGAGTTTTGAATAGCACACTAGAATAGAGATCTAACACCCTGCATAACTGAGGATGAGCCTTCAATAGCATACTGGAATAGAGGTCTAACACCCTGCATAACTGAGGATGAGCCTTCAATAGCATACTGGAATAGAGATCTAACACCCTGCATAACTGAGGATGAGCCTTCAATACCACACTAGAATAGAGGTTTAACACCCTGCATAACTGAGGATGAGCCTTGAATAGCATACTGGAATAGAGATCTAACACCCTGCATTACTGAGGATGAGCCTTGAAAAACACACTGTAATAGAGATCTAACACCCTGCATAACTGAGGATGAGCCTTGAAAAGCACACTGGAATAGAGATCTAACACTCTGCATAACTGAAGATGGGCCTTGAATACCACACTGGAATAGAGATTTAACACCCTGCATAACTGAGGATGAGCCTTGAATACCACACTGGAATAGAGATCTAACACCCTGCATTACTGAGGATGAGTCTTGAATACCACACTGGAATAGAGGTCTAACATCCTGCATAACTGAGGATGAGTCTTAAATAGCACACTGGAATAGAGGTCTAACACCCTGCATAACTGAGGATGAGCCTTGAATACCACACTGGAATAGAGGTCTAACACCCTGCATAACTGAGGATGAGCTTTGAATACCACACTGGAATAGAGGTCTAACACCCTGGATAACTGAGGATGAGCCTTGAATACCACACTGGAATAGAGGTCTAACACCCTGCATAACTGAGGATGAGCCTTGAATACCACACTGGAATAGAGGTCTAACACCCTGGATAACTGAGGATGAGCCTTCAATACCACACTGGAATAGAGATCTAACATCCTGTATAACTGAGGATGAGCCTTGAATTCACACTGGAATAGAGATCTAACACCCTCCATAACTGAGGATGAGCCTTGAATACCACACTGGAATAGAGATCTAACACCCTGCATAACTGAGGATGAGCCTTCAATACCACACTAGAATAGAGGTCTAACACCCTGCATAACTGAGGATGAGCCTTGAATAGCACACTGGAATAGAGATCTAACACCCTGCATAACTTAACTGAGGATGAGCCTTGAATAGCACACTGGAATAGAGATCTAACACCCTGCATAACTGAGGATGAGCCTTGAATAGCACACTGGAATAGAGGTCTAACACCCTGTATAACTGAGGATGAGCCTTGAATTCACACTGGAATAGAGATCTAACACCCTCCATAACTGAGGATGAGCCTTGAATACCACACTGGAATAGAGATCTAACACCCTGCATAACTGAGGATGAGCCTTCAATACCACACTAGAATAGAGGTCTAACACCCTGCATAACTGAGGATGAGCCTTGAATAGCACACTGGAATAGAGATCAAACATCCTGTATAACTGAGGATGAGCCTTGAATACCACACTGGAATAGAGGTCTAACACCCTGCATAACTGAGGATGAGCCTTGAATA